CCATTCCTATACTCCACATTCTAGACATAATACATTTAGTTGAGTTTTATGTTTAATAGTTTGCTCTATGTACAGTAAAATAAAAATTATTAAATTTTTCTTTAATTTTTATATTTAAAAATTTTATAAATTATTTAATAATTAAATTATATAATTTAATATAATTTAAACAGTAACTTTTTTTATAAAATAAACATTGATATATTTTTTACCAAAAGGAAGAGAAAGGGACTTTCGGTTGCAGTTTGCACTCACAAATAATATCGGATCATACATTTTCTGGTGTTTTCCACGTTGAATTTATTCTACTTATTCCATCAACATCAAGGGAGCCGTAAAATTACTTTAGACTAGTTCAAAGAATTCGACTTTTCATTGCGCATTGTCTTTCCGTCTGGCCATTTTCAGGGCCTTACCCTCTCAACCTAACCACTAGTCTCTGATCCCACAACACCACTATTCAGAAACCTAGATAAGTGCATAGTCCCAAACTCATACCCTCCAGTCATCGCCCTACCATATATATACCATAGGCCCAGCTTAGGTCGTGAGTCATTTTGTTTCCTCAAAAATCCCTAAATACTGGTACATGCTCGGCAAATCTAGATGTGGAGCATGCCACTTATTTTGTTATAAAATAAGAAAGTAGTACTTTTTTAATGACTTTCTACTCTCACACGGTTGACTTCCATTGAAACGGGTAGAAGAATGTTAGTTAAAATGTTAGTTAAAAGTTGAATTATGTGCCTTTAAATGATTTGTAGGAGGGAGGAATGTTTTCCTATAGAATGCGTTACTAATTTGCTTTGAATGACAAGATTTTAAAACTTTACCATTAACTAAAAACTTAAAAATTCACAAAAAATAAAATAAGTGAAACGAATAAGCATTCATTTGAATTTATTAAAAGATTTAACTATTAAACTATTGGGAGATTAAATTAAATTATTGCAAAATTGGAATCGTAAATAGGTTTGAAGTTAGAGTAGAGCTAAGTAATTATGATGATTAGGTAAATAAAATTAAAATTAACTTGAACATGAAAGAGAAGCATGAAAGCCGTCGGAGTTGACATTTGAAGAAATGACTCTTATTTCAAAATCACTAAATAAACAAACAGATTACTATAGAAGTCAAAACTAACCCAAATTTGATTGGAAGTTATGCTAAAACTAAGATTTGTGAGTTGTGTGAACATTAGTTATGAAACCAGAAAGCTAATTTTGATGAGTTGTGTGTAGGATTGGTTGTGTCTTGCTTCTTTTGAATTTTTCTCTTTTATATGTCTTGATAAAAATGATAACCATCCACTTCCACTTATGCAGAACATTATAGACTTCATGAGATAGTTGAACAATTTAATAGTAGACCAAGTCAAAACTCACTCTAGAGCTCACCATCAATCTGCCACCTCACCCACTAGCTGAACTTGGCCTGTAGCTCCTCCAAAAATTTAGCTATGATCTCCATTAACATAAAATACCACCAAATAAATGAAAGATAATTATAGAAACACTAAATCTGCTTGGACACATAGTATTATCAAGAAAGTCTGTCAAGTTTCAGATCACAACAACATTAAATCTAACGTGGTTTCATCATAATCACTCATTCAAACAATATGATATGTGATATCATCATATAAATTAATAATTTATGGTGTAAAGACAATAATGTTATGAAGAGTTACTCATTCAGTGGAATTTGAAAAAGAAGTAAAAGGAAAATGATTATGAGTTGTGTCTTGTTGTTAGTCTTGACATAACACAGTGAAAAAAGTACATGGTTATAGAATGTCAAAAAGTGCACCCACTCGGTTTTGCAACTGTTTACAGCTAGAAATAAGATTGTTTTGCATAAAAATTTTATATAATTATTTTTTTATTATAAATAATTGAGATTTATATATCATGATTTTTTAAATGAAAAGATAATTAACATTTAAAAAATAAAATAAAAAGTGAATAAATTTCAATTAATTATTCATAATGAAAAAAAAAAACAAAATTTTGTATAAAAATTGTATTTAAATTTATCTCAATCCTAAAACAATGTAATTAGCTACTTTTTCAAAATTTACAATTTCTGATTTTATTCTATATTTTGGTGTAAACTAAAGTAATGCAACCTTAGCCATGAATGCGGCCGGTTTTTAATTAGTTTGTTACAGCAAAATTAATTAACACATCAAAATTCTACCTTATTTGATTTGATTTAATTATCCCACTTTTTCTATTCACTATTATTAAGAAATATATTTGTTATAATAATTTAGAATTATCTTTCTATTTTCATTTATAATAAAATAAAAAAAATTAATGTGCTTTCATCTTTTTAAGATAAGGACAAAATTGAAATATTAATATCTAAAAATGAAGCCTAGTGCTTTCTTGTGCACCACAAGTAACATAAACAAAAGGTTGACAGTAATACGACCTCCGTGCACAAAAAGTTCTAAATTGAATGATCAAATTAAGTTTTTATATACAAAATCAATGAATGCAAATAACTTGAAAATTGAATAGTTTTTTTAGTTATCTTATAAGTTATATTTAGGAGTTAAATTATAGAATTACTGGTGACCGAGGAATGTAGGAAAAGAGAAAAAGTGTAGGCTTAGAAAATTTAATCTAAACCCACCTTACCGAATAGGGATGTCGGGTTTACATTTATGTCATGAGCTAAATAATAATTAGAGGAAAGGGTAAATTAAAATGTTTTGGCATTAAAAATATTAAAAATATTAAAATATTTTGATTTTTTTTTTATTTTAGTTATACACTGGAAGGCAATTATTTTCTATTTCTTATTCTACTCCACTCGTATGTTATGCAACTCAAATTTCAAATCTCTTATTTTCAATGGAATGAGATGATAATTGAGTTATTTAAATCATTGACGATTTTTTCTTTTCTTATACTCCTTTTATTCATTTTTAATAAAATTAATTTGATTTTTTAATTTTTTAAATATAAAGTTTAAATAAAAATTTATAATTGATCTAAATAATGATTAAAAACTTTTTTTCTTCTTATATGAAGTTTTTGTAAAATATTTTTATTCGATTAAAAAATTTCACTTAAAGTTTATATAATACGTTGAATTTTTATTAAAAATTAAGATTTAGAAAAATAAAAGAAATTAAATTTATTAAAATTAAATTGAACGACTAATACTTATCCTATCTAATGTATTTTTCACTTATGGGTGAATGAGTTGATAAGAAATTTTATCAATTTAATTAAAGATTTTGATTTCAAATTTTAAAAATATAATTTTATTAAAATTTATAAAAAAAAATTTTGTCACAAGTTAAATCTTGCCTCACTCAAACCTAAATTAATCGAATATCCAACGACTTTCCGGATACTAGTTATTCAAAACAAAATAAAAAATCTTATGCACTTTTCAAAGTTGGGATATGGGTGGATAGGACAAGTGCTTTTATCTAATACGGCACTTCATCCCATGCTCCAAAGGAACCCAAAGAGTTTCAAATTGAACGAACAAGGTTTTTTTTTTTTTGACTGTTGAACGAACAAGTCTTTTATATATGCAAAATCAAAAGTTTCAAATTGAACGAACGAGGTTTTTATATACAAAAATCAAATGAATGGACATTACACCTCCACCAGTCTCTCTAACTTTTCTCTGCTATACTTTAAGCTGTCCCTGAAAGGACATTTAGAACTAACATAAGCATTTACTAATTGTAAGTACGTGCTGAGCTCATGACACGTGGCCACATTCCCCTTGCTTAGGTGTGGACAGTCCTTACTACTCAGTCTCAGCTCTTGTCCCACGTCAGCATAAACCCACTGCGTGTCCTCCACTCGCTTCTGTAGCCACGAGGGAAACCCTACCACGTTTGCAGTACCTCTATCCACCATATCATTATTATCAATCACGAATCCTGGTACTTTTGTGATGAGATCATCGGAGTTCACGATCCGTAGGACTCGTGTCCCATTCCTTTCCAGCTGGCGTCTGAAGCTCTGATTCCCTACCCGTGGTCCGCCGAAGGACATTACGGTTACCATGGGTGCATTAGGGAAGGTGGAGTTTATGTCGTATGCTGTGAGAGTCGCCAGGGCGGCCCCGAGGCTGTGTCCGGTGACGGTGATGCTCAGTGGTTGGTTGCCGTATATTTTTAGAACCTTGGCAATCGCCTCCCTTACCATGTCTTGTAAACTAGGACACTTGGCGGTGGATGAGGTGTAAAGGCTCAAGAACCCGCTCTCCACCATGGCCCCAGTACTGCTGCTTTCCGGACCCACATTCGCCATATCCTCAGGTAGTGGAGTCAACGTCGCTCGGAGATTCTCAATCCACTCCATTCGAGTAGCGGTTCCCCGGTAAGCAATCACCACGTCACGCCTTCCAAGCCTGGCAATCTCGTCCTTGTCCTGACAGACTGCCACGTAACCAATCCAACTGGACTGTCTCCAAATCCAGCCTGGCGCTCTATGAATCCAACGTGGCAACTGTATCCCACAACTGGCTTTAAGGCTCTTGATAACACGATAGCCCGTTTCTCCGATCCCGGACCTGGTCAAAAGCGACCTCCGGGGGAACTTAGATGTCCCGTAATTGGGAGAAGAAGAATCAAAATCACAAGCCCGATACGCGGCTTCAACAAACTGACCATACCTTAATATTTCATCTCTTAAATTATCGTCGAGCGGATCAAGCAAGCCTTCCCAGTTATTGATCCCTTGATACTCCTTCCATTTGTTCCCGAGTTTAAGCGCGTGAGTGTACTCATGAGCACTGAGCGAGTCATACTTTAACGAAGTCCAGGAGAAGTCGGAATTCTTAGTAGTGTTGTTGAGTTGCAATGTAGAAACAGCAGTAGTAGTAGTACTAGTAGTAGTACCGTGGCCAGTGGCCGCTGTAGTGGTGACACTTGGGAGTTTAAAAGAATATTGCTCTTTAGAAGTGGTGCATGGGTTTACGACAGCAATAGCAGCAATCCTCATTTTTGGACAAATTAAAAAAGAGGTGTGTGTGTTAGTTTAGTGTGTGTAGGAGAGGATCGAAAATTGGCTGTTTTTACTTAGTCAAAACGATGTAAAGGAAAGCATATATTTATACATCCAGGAGAAAGAGCGTGGACGGCGGTGCATGAATTCTCCAAGATTTGCTAAAGTAGGGGAAGTGGGGTTGGTGGGTTGTGGTGGGGTAACTGGGGGGTAGGGGAAAAGCGGCGGTGAGAACTACAGTACCGGCGGTGAGTTTTGAAGAATTAGCAGGAGATAACTGAGCCAAAAAAGGATTTTGACCGGGACCCACATTACCCCCCCCCCCCTCCCCACTCCCCACACCCAGTTTGGATTCGCGGGAATTGACGAATTTGTCTTTCCGTCCATCCAAGAGGTTTCAAAAACTCGTGCTGGCAGGTGCATTTCACACTACGCGTTTCTTTTCGCACTGAGTGGGGATTAATAATTGGCTCCTGCTAATTTCCGGCCGGTACATAATTTATTCTGACACTAGGAAAGTCGGAAACAAAAATGTACAAATTATGGGGCATACATAGACTTTAATAAAAAACCCTCCCAATCCTTTTTGTTTTTTTTTGATACATTCTAAATTTCTAATGTTATGGTTATAGTTAAAAATTAAAATTTTTTATTTCATTAAAAAAAAGAGAGAGAAATTATCACATCAATCAATTTAGGATTCTCCATTCAAAAGAGAAATCATCACATTAATCAACATATATTTGAGTGTTTTGACCCAGAAGAGCCAAAAGTTGTAATTAAAAGAAGTCCCCATAAAAAAAGTGAAGATATCTGCAGAATGGTGGTCGATATGGATCACGTTTTGGCTTTCTTCTAGTATCGTCAATTTTAATAGCTTGTTGGATATGAGGCGAGGGAGGGGAGGGGAGGGGAGGTGAGAGAGGGAAAGGGAAGGGGAAGAACATTTTTTATCTGGTTAATTAAAAATTGGAGAGAATGAGAGGAAAGAAGTATTTCTTTATTTTATTTTAACTTCTTTTAGTATTTAGTTTAATTAAACAATAATTAAAATTTTTAAATAAAAAAATTTAGATATAATTTTGGGTGATGTTTGATGTATTTTTTATTTAATATTATAAAATATATTTATTAAAAAATTATTATTTTTTAATTTGAAATTAAATGTAGATAAATTTTAAAAGACAATTATATATACAAAATGCAGAAACTGATTGAATCAATTATATTTATATTATATAAAAATAATTAAACTGAACGAGTATTAAAAAATATGTTAAATTGAGGATATACTAATAATTTTTCTATTACTTTTGAATTGACTTATAAATAAGGTTTAAGAAATATAATTTCACAAGCTTTTTCTTTTTCTTTTTCTTTTTCTTTTTTAATTTGCAGTTATAAGTTATTTTAGGATTAAAGCCTTGTTTGAGAGCAAATGACTTATAAACAAACTTGTTGTTATATGTTAATTTTTCATTTTTAAACTTTTAATTTTGAATAGTTTCGTACTTGGATTATTTTTTGTACTTTTTTTTTTTAATTTTTGAAAATACATTTTTTTAATTATTCCATCAATTAGTTCGTTAAGTTTATAAATTTATTCGCATTTAAGTTCAGGAACTAAAATATACATATATGAATAAATTTAATAGACTAAATCGATGGAATGACAAAAAAAAGTATATTTTTTATAGTTTATAGATGAAAAAAGCGCAAAAATAATTTAAGAACTAAAAACATTCAAAATTAAAAGTTAGGGACTGATAAAAAATCTATATCATTATATTTTACAACTAGTTTTTTTAGGTTACTTTTTCGATATTGAATAATAATATGTTTTTTCATTTAAAAATTGTCTCATGTTAACTTTAAGTCTTCATCCTAACACCAAAAGTCTTTCTTTATCTTTTTGGCTTTTTATGAAGGGTAATATGAGTAAAAATATAAATTATCTTTATATTTTTAATTGAGAATAAAAATAAAAAAATGGCTATTGTTATTAGATAAAGGGTGTAGTAATAATTACCAAAATTAATAATAAAATTGCCATTTTTAAAATCTAGATAGTACAAATAAGTATCACAACGTATGTATACATGATGTTCATAAAAAAAAATGGTATGTATATACATGGTACTTATTATAGCAAATCTATTAAAATTGAAAAAAATAATATTGCTTTTTTTACTATAAAAATTAGTAGTTATTAGTCAATTACAGTACAGTAGCTTTTTAAAATTTTTATTAGGGTCAAAAAAAAAAAAAAAGAAAAAGGTAAAAATGGATGAAGTGGAATAAAAAGCTAGGCGATAGGATTTGGCTTTAGCGGATTAGATGATCTTGTATATTGATTATCCAGCCAGTAATGACGTGTATGAGTAATTAATTAATTCTTATCAAATGAATAATACTATCCTTTTGATTAACAACATTGTCCTGCCTAGAGGAAAAAGGTTGCCAATGCACGTCATGCAAATACCCAGATACTGAATTTTCCACCTATCTATCAAAGCCTGTCAAAATCGCAGCGGATGGATGGAATGGGAATTTCAGTGAAACCATAATCATTTCTTTTTATGGTTTTTTTTTTAATCCCCGCATTAAGTGTTTAAACGTAATAAATGTACATTATTATTATCATTAAATTATATATAAAAAATAATACATGAATATTTTTTTTGAACATAGGGAATCATGGGAGATAAATATTTTTTTCAAGATGTTAGTAAGAGTTGAATTTATAATTAATTAAATTTAAAACATTTAAAGTTTGGAGACAAACCATTAAATTTGAAGGTTTGGTTAAAAAAAATAATATATGATTTTTTATTAAAAAATATATAATTTTAATTAATTTTAGCAATAATATTGTCACATTGTTTGGTTTTAATTAATTAATTAATTAAGTAAACGTTATAATTATAATATTGCTTAATAAAAAAATCTAGGGAAACAACTAGGTTAAGTGGAGAAAAAAATAATTTATTTAATATAAAAAAACTATAATTAATTTAAGTTAAATTTTAAGTTAAAAAGCTACTATTATTTTAAGATGAAATTAGGAGCTACCATTTTCTCTTACACAGCCATAGATATAGAGGTACGGATTTTATATAATATACTGTATATGGTTAAACATACCAATGAGGCCTTAGGTTAAGTGGTGTACTACTTGGAGGCTCAATCTCACAACCTGGGTTCAATTTTAGCAATTGCTGGCTAATGCCCCGGGGGTGGGGGGGGGCGCTAGTCAGGTAGCTAGGTCTGACTAGGGAAAATCATCCAGGGATTGATGAGTGCGACAGTTTACAACCCATACTTTGGTTTACAATCTTTGTTCGAGTGAAAAAAGCTTTCTCTAGTTTAATGAGAGAGCGTCTGTTCGACCCCGCAGGTGTATGTACTTCGATTTCTTTGTTGATATTATCTTAGTGTTCAATGTACCACTACCTTTCGAAAACACAATCATCAACCAAACTAGAAATTGCATAAGAGAAGAAGGGTTTTTGTAAGTGAGATCCATCAAGCTTGGAATTTCATAGGGAGAGAAGTTTGACGCATCTCTTATTAATTTGGTCCAACTGCCTCCATTAACCAGTTAGCTACATAAATTCAATTATAATAGTTGATGGGTTTTTCTAAATTTTTCTTTTTTACACTATACTTAAGTCTTGATATTTGTGTGTATTTAGACATTATTTTGTGTTCTATATATGTGTGTGTGTGAAAGGTATTTGTGATACAATTAGTATATCCCAACAACATTTTACCCAGGCAAAGACCAAATTAGAGTTGATTATGGATTTTTGGTTAATTGGCGACATAAATGGTAGTATATGTATGTCGCCATTTTTCTTGTTGGAGTAGTAGTGGTTCGGCCTAGTTGGAAACCTGACTTGCGGATCTTGGGCAGGCTTTTTTTGTTTCCAACTAAGTCAAGTTTGAAACCAAATCCTTTCAAGCCAAACTCATCTTGGAGGGTAGCTACAGCTCTTCCCGCCTCTCATCGGAAAGGAAGCTATGTCCGATGACCCCGGCCCCCCCCCAAAGGATAGTTTAACTACTTAGTTACTCATGATCAGGTGAGAACAACTTTTTCCTAGCTATAGCAAAGACAAATTTAGTATCGACTGTTGATGATTTTTGATTAATTGGTGACATAAATGGTAGTATATGTGTGTTGCCCCTTTTTTTGTCTTCTTTTCCTGTTGTAGTGGTGGTGGGGTCGGGAGCTATTTAGTGTCCTAGCTAGACCCAACCCCACGCTTGAGCTATATGAGTAGATAAAAGACAGAAGACAGCACTATAGTGTTGTATTAAAGTCTGGGGTGTGATGAACAAAGGGGGGGGAGCCAATTAGATGTGAACGGAGTCACTAATCCCTTAAATTTAACAAACTTTGATATATACATCTGCTCACAAGAAACCAAAAGCGAAAAGGCATGAAATGCAAGTTTTCTATGTAAAACATGCCGCGTGGGCGGAATTTTGAGATTCATGCTTAAATTTTGTACCATTTGTTTCTTTTTTTTATATGATTCCGACCCACTTTTACTTTTAAAAAAGTATCACAATTAAATTAAAATTATATATATAGAGGTTTTAAGATATTTATCTGGTGAAGAACTTCACTATGTATAATAAAATAGATAATTCGTTAATACTCCCTTCAATAAATTTTATTTTATTTTTTGGATAAATTAAATTAAATAGAGGCATATGATTGTATTGTGTAAATTGTGGAGAAAGTGGGCATATTCATGCACTGATGGGCACTGATGAGGGAGGTGTCATATCGAAACTGTAGGCATAATCATTTATGTGATGGATAGTGACAGAAAACAGAGGCAAATGTTTTCCTCATGATAAAAAATTTTCCCCCAAAAAAATCGAGCGTCAACAGAGAGATGTATTTGGTACGGTTGTGTATTCAATCTTAATGTCTTATAACTGCATGCTTGTTTGGGTAGAGGCGTGACGCTACTCCTACAAGGACAGGTGCTCTGCCACGAATGTGCTTATGTGTATCTGCATTTTCTTCTCATAATCGTCGCCGTGCACTGATTTCAAAACCCC